AAAGCCACACTCAATTGGGGCCTCAGCTCCTGCTCCCAGGCGGCAAAGTCAGGAGGGCCGGGTGAGCAAGGAGCCCAGAACCCAGGCCATAGTGATGATTTCTGCCCAGTCACTCGGAAACTAGGCACAAGGCCGTGTTGCATCACTTTGAGAATTTAGGGAACTGGGCTTCGGCTCCAAGCACTCACCCCCGTCAAAGCTACAACCTGCAGAGGGGCCTGCAGGCAAGTCCAGGCTCGCACCTCCCCACCCACATCCCGCGACACGCACACGTTGGCCTGGCCGCTGACCTCCAGGGGTAGTGGCATATAGTGTGCCACCCAGCGTGGTGCTGTAGCAGTCAGGCAGCCAGTCCCTGCCCCCAGGAATTGGGCAGCTGGTGGGTGTGGACATAGCGCTGGCGGGACGAGCAGGAAGGCAGCAGCCGGTGCTGGTGTTGAGGACGTGGGGCGCAGCCGAGTCTGAGGCGGACTCAGTTGACCACGTGCGGCCGCAGCAACACCACCAGGACAACGTCAAGCCGGGGGCGGGCCGGCCGTCAATCAACCCGATGATCCCGCCCTACCCTCGCGGGAGGAAGCACCAAACTCAGCAAAAGTTGGAAGGAGTTCCAGGAGCCGCACCGGCCTCCAGTTCCTCCTGGCCCAAAACTGGCCAGCCTGCCTATGCCTATAAGCGCTGCAGCTACTCAGCTATTTACTATTTACTGTTTATAGCGGGCGCTGGGGACAGGTGAGGTATGGCACACGTTATTGCCATATATTAATTGATCCATTCCTCTCAACAGTTTTGGACAGTAAAGCGCTGTTATTAGCCACATTTTACAGGTGAGGACACCAAAGTCCAGAGAGGTTAAGTCATGGTTCAAAGTCACGGATTTTGTAGGAGGGGGAGCTGCGGTTCATACCTGAGTGTGTCTGATTCGAGCATGTGCTCCTAGGCACAGCTGTGTAATGCCTCCCATTAATCAATTTCAGTACAGGGTGAAAAGTGCCTTGACGGCCTGGTGCACAGCCATCAGGGTAGGTCAGGGAGGGAGAGTGGGCTTTCTGGAAGAAGTGATACCTGGACTGATTAAAGGATGAATAAAGGTTGGAAGATAGGAGAGGCCGGTTCTTTGATCTCTCTGTCACAGCTAAAAACTAAGGAAGGACTGGGGGCTGGTGAGGAGGGCTTGGTCTCTGGCCTTCTGGAAAGTAAGATCAGAGAGTCTGGCCTTTAAAGAGAAGATTTTTTGCTGTAGGCACAGTGATATGAAAGGAGGCAGGAGAGAGGTGGTGGGAGAGTAAGTACTAAGTCTAGTACCTGTATACACAAAAAAATCTCGACTTGACCCAGTTGTCTGCTGTTTGGCTTCCTCAGGATCACTATACCCTCAGCAATGCCATCCCACCACCAATTAATTGTAGACCACCTGACTTCATGCATTTATCAGTATTACTTCAGCACTGGTTTCATCAGATTTCCCCTCAGCTCTGATTTCTTGACTCATTTAAAAAAAGACTACAAGTCATTGCTTCTCAAACTTTAATGTGCACATAAAGCACCTGGAGATTTTGTTAAAATGAGGATTCTGATACAGTAGGTGGGACTTGAAATTCTGGGTTTTTAATAAAATCCCAGGTGATACAGACCCTTAGGTCTGCATGTCCTCAGAATCACACTTCAGGTAGCAAGGATATGTATACTTTATTGTTCCAAAAAGGTTTTTGAGCCTCTTACAAAGTGGTGTATGCCTAAATAAAGTGTCTTAGCAATGAAGTGCTGGAGGGTAAGGCTTGGGATCAGATTGTGAAAGAACCATCTATGACAACTCAACTTTTAAGCAAGGTAAGTAGTCTAGTGAGGGGAGTGGGAGATGGGGTGGAGGACAGTGAGACTGGAGGTGAAGACTCCAGCCTAGTGAAATAGGGTAGGCAAAAAGGCAGTTGCTGCGAGGTTGGAGAGAAGTGGAGGGGATACAGATACACAGAGAAGGAAGGGTAAGGTGACTGATTTAAGGGTGGGGTGGGAGAGGAGATAAGCTAGGATAATTCCCAATCTTCTGACTTGAGAGTCTTGGTAGCTAGTAGTACCACCTAGTATAATAGGGAAAACAAGGGGAGGGGCATATCTTATATTGGGGAATATATAATGTGTGTGGAATGTTCAGATGGAGAAGCACAGGAAGAAGCTAGATATACAGGTCTGAAGCTACAGAGGGAGAACTCTGGGGAACTGATTCAGATTTCCGTGGAGTAAAATCCAAGAACGTGGGGTGAGATTACCTGGGGAGAAGATACACCAAAAGAAGAGACCTGAGCATATCAACATTTATTTAAGGAGTAGTGGAGGAAGAGGATTTCACCGAAGGAGACTGAGAAAGACCAGTGAGAGCAGGAGAACTAGAAGTGTCAAAGGTTTTCAAGAAGGATCAGTGTGGAAGTGATCCTTCTATTAATCTCTATTATAAAACAACAGCAGCAGTTACAGACTTATAGGAGTCTTACTACTGTAAGAGTACTACTAGAAGCTTACTTTTTTTGAGACACTGTATACTATAAGGGCTGGGGAACTAGAGAATAAGCAGTTGGTTTTAGAGAGAAAACCAGATTCATCATCCATTCAACCAGGATGAAGGACCAAGAGTTTAAATCAGAGGTTTTTCAACACTGATTGTCCATTAGAGTATAGAAGCTTCCAAAAAAGAAAAAAAAAACAACTTATGCTCAGGTCCCAACCCCAGAGATCTGATTAAACCTGTAGGGGAATACCAGGTCTCTGCCACCAGGCAAATTACTTTGAACTCACATCAGTACCATTAAGATAAAACAGGAAGAGGTGAAAAGTAGTCACAAAATAGGTTTGCAATCTGATCATTAGATTCACAATCTTGTTTTCCAAATTAGGTCTTCAAGCCCAAGCTCCTGCCCTTTTTTGGAGGTGGTCTTAACACACTCAAGTTTCTCTCACTCATTTCCTACAGGAGAGAGTGAAGGTAAAGTAACCTGTCAAGTAACACTGACACATGGTGACAAATCTTTGAGGAATAGAAAATGCAGCATTATCAGAGTCCCTCACCCCAGGACAGGGTCCACTGGGAAGACGTCACAACCATCCACAATTCTTAGTAGAAGAGCTCTAGGGCTAGTTGGAGAACAAGATGTTCAGAAGCTGTTTTCCTACACTTTGTTTGCCTCTTCCTGGGTTTACAGTATGGTACAAAGGTCTTAAACAGTTGGACAGAACCATGTATACTACTTGTACTCCTCTATTTGGCTTGAAACTCTAATATGACCAGCCTTTCCCCTTCTAAAAGCTACCTCAAACTAAGGATGGTACCCTCCTGTACTAACTTTGACACTGGAAAGAGGACTTGGCCAGAATCTGTAAGATGGAAACTACAGTTCCAAGTCCTGAGATTTCTTACCTCTGGTTAGGAGAGGCCACCATTGGCTGTCCAACTCTCTTCTTCGGTCTCGTTAGTTGAGGTGATGAGATTTCCCCTTTGAGAGCAGGGACTGAAGGAAGCAGACTGGCCTATAAAAGGGCAAGTCAGCACACTGTAGCCACAATAGGTTTAAAGGGTCTTAAAAACATCAAGAATTTTATTGGTGGTGGTATTTTATTACATTGAACACTACTTGAAATAAGTGGGTCCAGAAACCTTGATGATACAGTTTTGTTCCTTGAATGAGCTGTTATTCTCATAGGGCTTGATCTATGCCTCAGCAGGATGTTTCTTTTCTTTTCTTTTCCTTTTTTTTTTTCAGCAGGATGTTTCTTAATGACTTGAGGGCTCACTATGGGTATGCAAGGTTTTCTTCTGCCTCCACTAAATTCCCAAAATCAATAATGGCTCTCACAACAGCAGACTTTTGATTCCATGTAAGAACAAATGGTAGGGGCCCTCAAATCTCAGCAATGTATTGGCTTCTAGTAGTCCCATACCGTACATTCTCATTCACAAGACAAGAGAATCTGTTAGAACTAGGAGACCCTTTTGAGTTCATTTACATTGTTTCATTTACAGATGATGAATGTGAAGCCCAGAGATGAGAAATGATTTGCCTATGGTCATATAGCTTAAAGTGGCAGAAATGAAAACAGAATTTAGGTTTCTGACTTTTGTTCCACTCTACCCATTCTGCCTCCCCACAAGTCCCTTGTATATTCTGAAAGTAATTAAGTTCTTACCTGAGCTAGGTTTAATCCAAGGTTCAGGTTGGTAAAATAGCAGTAAAGTAATGCCAGGAAGAGGCAAGACAGAGGAAGAGATTAGCAGGCAAAATGGAGTGGGGAGTAGGTTACTGGGATTCAAATAGAAAGAAAAGAAGGCAGTGGTGGTAAGAGGGCAGGAAGTAGAGTATCCTAAATAACTGCTACAAACTGCACAGCTCCTGTTTTTTCCTAATCCTTCTAGGGGTTTCTCATAATTGCGTCCTCTTCTTATGGGTTCTAGTTCCTGATCTGAGATAAAATTTCTCATTCTGTTGTCCTCAAGGTGTAGAAGATATTGGAAGAGCTCTTCCAATAATTCAAGTGTACTTAAAATAGTTAAGATAGAACAAAACTCACTTTTTGTCCCACTGAATAATTTACTTAATATTATCTCTCTCTAGTATATGTTTCATCAAGAGTAGTTTCATTCATTTCACTAATATTAGGTGATTTTTTTGGTTATTAGTGGTAAGTGGAAACAGCAAGGTATGTAGGTGATCTCAGGGGTCCTTTGTCCCCCTCAAGGAGGTCTCTTGAGACTACTTGATGTGGTTATTAAGCATTACAAAGGCAGTAGCTTCAATACCAGTGATAATTTCCAAATCCATTCAAAATAGAAAATAAGAAATGAGCTTACAGAAGCACTCTCATATGTAAAATGATATGGAAGACAAACCAACCAGGTATGTCTAACACAGAACAAACATGGTGTGTCTCATCTAGTGGCAGCTCTAGGAGCAAGGGAGAGAAGATTAGGAACTTCTGTTGGTAGGAGAGTAGAAAAGTGCTTCTGGTATGGTTCTGCCCCTAGTTATTATTTTTCTGTGCATCCTTCTTTGCCTTAATGTGTGTTTTGGCTCCTCTATCACCTCAGACATTTTCTTGTTTTCTTTTTTAGCTCGCTTTTATCTAAGACCAGGTAATTCAACCATATTAAAACATGAACAGTCAAGCTGATGACTGTTCTTTTCATTGGGCTAGTTTTTTCTTCTCTACTGCATCAGATTCTTGGCATAGCCTATAGTTTGGCCAAAGCACTCCATTCCAGTGTTCATGAGTTTAGCTTGTTGACCATATTGGCTCTTCATGGAACTAAGCCCAGAATTAGTCACATATTTATAGACATTATTCAGCTGATTCAACAATAAAATAGAATTAAAGGAGTCACCCCCACCCCCTCCTATGTCCCAACCCAAATAAAACTTAAACACCTACAACCAATATCATCTTTAGATAAAAAAGTCAGGAAGCACAAAAGGAATCTGAAGGATGATTTGGGTGTCCCTAAGTTTTTTCAGTGTCATCTGACTGAAATCCTGTTGTTCTTATTGACATACTCATGATCCACAAAGAGCTAAACCTTTTAATGGCCTATCTGCTAAAGTCAGATAAGACACATTGCAGGGGCTTGAAACATTCTCACTTTTAAAATGATACAGAAGAGAACAAAAGAACAAGGAATGTTTAACACAGAATAAGCATACAACTAGTCTTAAAAGTGCTTTTTCAAGGCAGTCTAAGAATGGACTCTAAAGTGTAAAATGTGAGAAGCCTATCACAAATATAGTATTAACAGCCTGGTTCAGCATGATTGTGGACTGGGTAGTACCTGCATGACCACTGAAAGGATCACACCCCACTTCTAAACACTGTTCATCTTTTTATTGAATATTCTGGTAAATATTTCACATTAATACAGGCCACATTAAGTAGAGCCACTATATGACAAGAAATTTACTCAACCTTTTCATTTTAAGTATGTAAACAATTGTACATGTATTTACCACCCTAAAAGGTTGAAACATGTAATCATCTAATTCTCTTCTGCATACAAATCGCATTCAGTATGTTTAGCCCAAAGCACTAATTTCAAAATGGCTAAACTAACCAGAGAACATAATCAGATGGATAGGAAATCACTTTGTTCATATACAATGGGCAATCAAATTTCCATTGCTAAAGCCTCAGAGAATATTTCTTAGGCACATTAAAAAAAATCCCCAGGGTTCTTCCAAGGTCAAAAGTTTCTCAAACAAGGCTAAAGAGTAAGACCTTCTAACTTAGTTGACATATTTGAGATGCATGTTTCCAATATGAGGTGCCCACGTGCCAGGCCAAATCTGAAAAGGGGGAGGAAAAATTGGAATTTCTAATTAGGAATCTTTAGACATTTACAAAATGAATATATAAATGCAATGGTAATTCACTGTTTCTGCCTAGGAAGAATACACATACATGAGATAAAATGTTAAGTAGCATCATCTTGATATTGAAAAACTTAATTCAGTTCAAGGTAGTCAGATGTCATGAATTTTGATATTCAGAACTTGCACTACCCAAAGAATTAAAAGAATGACATCATAAATCTGAAAAATAAAAGAGCATTAAGTCCATTTTACCTGCTGGGCATCAGTGCATTCAGTTGAATTTTGAATAACTTTTATCATAGGGTTCCAAGCAGGATCTGGGTTGTGAAGTCCATTAAACAGAGGGCCTCCTGGAACATCAGCAAGCTGAGGATGGGAGGGTATTATGGTGCCTCCATACATGGAAATTGGTAGACCCTAAAACAGCAGAAAGGTGTAATCATGAAGTGATTGTAAATGATGATTCCACAATACCAACATAGATTCTTATTTCCCTTCATTCAAAGAACTCCAGAGTATCCTGTAAGTATAGCAACACTGTATACAGTCTTGGGAAACCAAAAGTGGTTATTTGCGTCAGCAACATTTTTCAATGAGAATAGAAAAACAAAACAAAACAACTAAATCCAATATCAAATCATCAGGAAATTCCCAATACTTGATGAACACATATAATACCCTCAACTTTCCCATATTTAGGATTTACTAATAAGCTTCTGCCAAGAAAAGGGGAATTCTACATGATTGCTTGCAGCCACAATCTGGCTTTATGGCAGCCTGGAAGCTCTCAGAGGAGACAAGAGGGCAATGGGGAGCTCACTGCCAGCTTTTCAGAGAGGAAGAGGCCTCTCTCTAAGCTGTGGCAGCCAAATGCAAAGCAGCAAAACCCAAATCTCTCAGGTTTTGGAGGGAAGACGGGGGATTCTTCAGGATAGTTTGAGGACAAACTAATGTAAACAACATAATCCACTTTTGAAACTGGATAAAAGATCTGGCAAAGTCATAGAAACAAACTAGTTATACCAAAAGGAAGAATTATTTCAGTACAAATTCCTCCTTAACATGTGACTACATTAGCTGGCAATGTGTTAAACAAGTTACAATGATGTTTGTCAGCTCACTTTAGAAAAATCCACAAAACTGCTTACCATAGGCTGATGAAAAATGTTAGAGGGGGCTACCATTCCAGAATCATCTCTCTCCATTGGTTGATGCTGAGAGAATGTGCTTGGGTCTGATAATTGTTGATGCATTGGATGGTTCCCTATCACAGACTGTGACCAACCTGATAAGCCTTCTAGAAAGAAGAATTGAGATCAAGGTTAGATATTTATTTGGAATAAAATAACAAAACATTACCACTGGATTTTTTCATACTAAATTTAATCAAAAGCATTCCTTTGAGAAGCTCAGGACACATTCATGAAAATCTTTGCAAACCAAAATACAAGTTCCTGGAAAACTGGGTGGAGTACTCTGAATACCCCAAACACTCTACCTGTCCTTCAAAAGATTAAGTGCTCTCTGAAAGAAATCAAATGATTGTCCTATTCTATAATGAAAAGCTTAAGAAGGAAAGGAAGTATGCTTTGAATCTTTTACTTCTAATCAAGTCCGTATTTATTATTTTATATATATTACTATCATACATATTACATCTATTATTATGTATAATCCAAACTAACATTCCAGACTTTGAGACTGGACCGAACTCCTCAAAGGTTTAAATAACCTTACTGGTTAAGTACAGGACCTAATAAGCTTATTTATTTAGGTAAGGACCTAAGTTTAAATGGCAAAATCCCACAACTTACTCGAGACATCCCTCCAGACAGAGGACGCTGTAACTGTACCTGACACGGCATTGACGCCAAATGACCAGATTCCACTGTGTCCAACAGGAGCAACAAAACTGGTCCCCACAGGGGCTTGTGCAACAGACCCTCCTTGCCGAATCCGGGCTAGTCTCTCTGTTCCAATGGGGGGAGGTATCTTTCGATCCTGACTGGCACTGCCTCCTTTCGGTTGGCCCAATGTTGGTGGGGCAGAAGTGGCTGAAAGAGGTGAAGATGATCCCGAAGAAACAGATGGAATAGGAGAGTCACCTGGTGGCAAAATATTTCTCTATTGTTTTATTACATATAAAAACTAATTATAAGAATGAGAAACCTTGTTGGAAAGATCTGTTCCACAACATAGGTTCTGGAAAAAAATTTTCATTTTACAAGATCATTCAAATGAAAATATACAGGGACTTCCCTGGTGGAGCAGTGGTTAAGACTCCATGCTCCCAATGCAGGGGGCCCAGGTTCGATTCCTGCTCAGGGAACTAGATCCCACATGCATGCCATAACTAAGAGTTCGCATGCCACAACTAAGGAGCCCACCTCCTGCAACTAAGACCTGGTACAACCAAATATATAAGTAAATTAAAAAAATATATATATATAAGTTCTATAAATATTATCCTATACTACTTCTGCCTGTAGTAAGTATAAACAAATAGTCTAAAAATATAGTAAGTACAGACTAGTCTAAAGAATTTTTTCAAATTGAACTGAACAAGGCTAGAAAGGAAGAAGGTCGTATTTATTCTTATTGTAGTTCTGCTGGCTTGCGGGATCTTAGTTTCCCCTCCAGGGTTTGAACGCGGGCCCTCAGCAGTGAAAGCGCAGAGTCCTAACCACTGGACCACCAGGCGATTCCCCTTACTGTAGTTCTAAAAAATCTTCTCAAAACATATATTGTCACATTTTAAATTAACTTAAATGTGGCAACGTTTGCATGGTAACTATCATATTGTCTGGAAAATAGCTGCTGGTCCTCTACAATTATTAGCTGTTTTCTTTTTTCTCTTTCTAAAGCCCCTTATTTTTCCCCATAAGGAAGAAAGGTTAAATGTTAGTGAAGCATTGTAGGATTCAATTCACAGCTTTGTTTCTTAATGGGACTCTCAGGTAATATGGGTAGTTTTCCTTGTCAAAGGGCCAATACTCACTGACTTTCTCATGATGCTCATTTAAAAAAAATCGAATCCTGTTCAAATCCTTTTAGAACTTCATCTGTTCTAAATATTGAAATAAGTCAGAACAGAGGAATATTTTCACTTATAAATGGCAATCATAGTTTCCTCAAATGTAAAAATAAATGAGGAATCATACCAAACTGACCAGATACTTAAATTCAACTTCTTTTCAGACCTAAGAAATTATTTCACAATACTGTCCCCAAAGGGTCTTACAAAACTACTTGTAGTGCCTCTTTTCTTTTTCTTTTTTTTTTTTGGCGGTACGCAGGCCTCTCACTGTTGGGGCCTCTCCCGTTGCGGAGCACAGGCTCCGGATGTGCAGGCTCAGCAGCCGTGGCTCACGGGCCCAGCCGCTCCGCGGCATGGGGGATCTTCCCGGACTGGGGCACGAACCCATGTCCCCTGCATTGGCAGGCAGACTCTCAACCACTGCGCCACCAGGGAAGCCCAGTGCCTCTTTTCTTGATGCAAGTCTCAGTGTAATCTCAAATCTGGCTTGGAAGAAGAGCCTGACCCTTCTCAAGTTTTCTATCCTATCAATAACTGATAATTTTTGACATGACTGCAATACAAACCTTGGGTATTTGCATACAATTTAGATTACTAAAGTTACAATATAGCGTTCCCTGAAACAAATGGTTTAATAACTTATTCAGGACTCTTTGGGAAGAGTTCCTCCAGGATTCCTACATGAGTTTGAGGCGCTTGTCCAAGGGTGGGGAGAAAAATGTTGTCTGTTGAAACTGGGAGTCCCAACGGGAGCTGGCCCTTGCAGGAAAACCCGAGTTCCTGGTATGCCGGAAAAACTTGTCAGAGGAGCAGAAGAGGAAGATTGGGAGCTGCCTGATGGGTCAATGGATGGTAACCCTGAAATAAAAACAGGTCCAAGACATCAAATTAGCCAAGGCTTTAAAAATGAATGTCCAAAGTTTACTTAATTCCTCTTTAAAAAAGAAGAAAGAATGCAGTTTATTTTGTTGATCACAGCAACAAGAATCCATTTATATCATACTGTATGTCCCCAAACTATTTTTTTCTTACAGTCCAGAAGAATATCACCAAGCAGGACTAGATATAGAAATGTGAGCCCAATGTTTAGGAATGGCAGTCACCTGGAGTATGTTCTAGATAAATCTCAAAGTTTTCATTGGAGGGGACATGAAATAAGAGCATGTTGTATTACCCATCACTTAGAAATATAGCTGTTCATCTATATAACTATAGTCATTTCCTGTGCAAGATGAGTAACAAAACCTACCAATGTTTGCTTCCTAACATGGAAGGAAAGCATACTATTCAACTAAAGATAATTTCAGTATTCCATCTGATTAAAAAAAAAAATCAACAGCTGCAAACTACATCAAAGTTTCTATCTAGTTTGCATGAGCCTGAATTTAGCAGTATTCTCAAATTCCATTGCTTTCTCTGGAGAACATTTTAG